ATCGTAATATAAGCAAAAACTTACTCTTTATTATCACTTTATGCACTATCTGAATGGAGATATTGTAAGATTCGACCTTAAAACCGAAGGATGGAAACGGAGCTGGTGAACCATATGGCCCTTAAGTTATTTCTCGATATATTTTAGGCCCATGTTCAGATCCTGGAATACCAAGGAGTGGTCATCGCCTTCATCATTCCTTCCTTCACGCTGACAAARTGTCATTCACGTGCAAGAGTGGATGGAAGATGGATGGTGAAAAAAACATTGAATGCAATAATGGGAATTGGGATAACAAGGCACCGACATGTTTGGGTAAGAAAATGATCATGCTATACTATATATTCAGCTGAAAACACTGAATATTCAAAGCGGTTGGATTTTATTGAACATAGTTATTTCACATTTTTCTATTTTGATTGATAATCGAAAGACGGCCCAAATATCGATTTAGGTAAYTTTGTTTGAAAAATAGCATTTTTATGTGGTGTCTGGTTGACATTAAGAAGGTAGCATTTGGTTCGATGTGGGTGTGATTGATTCCTGGATCAAAATTTCAGAAATTCTTTCGTTCTGGGCAACCATCATAGCATGAATAAACAAAATAACTGTAGCTTCTCATGCGAATGTGCAAATCCCTGTCAATATTATTTCTTCTCATCTTGTTTACACTATCGTTCTTCTTCAATGCCTGCTTCTTATTCATGTAGCAATGCAAATGCTTCTGTCATTGATCAATTTGACTGAATTCKTTCATGCTTTTGGTGATATGTTATTGGTTCGATAGGTAAATGTTATAATCCTGGAAGTCCTTACAATGGATGGAGAAATRGTGACGATTTCTTTGAAGGAAAACAAGTTACCTTTGCATGTAGTTATGGTTATAACTTAGTTGGCCGAAAAAYACTGGAATGTTTGGACTCGGGAAGGWGGAGTGGGCCTGTACCTACATGCAAACGTGAGTGATAAGAAATGTAGAAGAAGCGCGTCATGGTCCTCACAATACGTGCAACGAAAGATGACTCTCGTCCGGAGAGCACGAAAGAGACAATCATTTAAATACGAAAAGACAAGACTATTGCAAGCTACTACTAGGTTTTCAGATCCTTTCTTCTCTCATCGATACCGCGTCAATGAATATGAGCCCGGGATATGAGCAGTAGTTATTGAAGTATTTTAAGGTAATACCCTGGTAGACTTCTTACTAAATTTGACTTATTGCATTAGGGCGGTGTGCTTATCGTCGGCCTTCTAGTAGCAAGACTACTCCAATCATCGCTGATGGAGTGTCAGTCCGCCATGGCACCTCAATCVAATTTRTRTGTATCAATGACTACACCCTTGTTGGACAGCAAACTGCAGTTTGTAACGACGGCCGATGGAATCACAAATATCCAATGTGTAAAGGTATTTTCTTCTCATTCTTTTTGACCTACCCTAACGTGAACTRTATGTACACTATGGCTATATATTACAGGACCCAATAGTGTTATGAACTAGTTGATAGCTCAATCATGTGTGTTTACTCACCGACAAACTGAATTTGAACTGTTCTTGATTCTTCGCTTTGGATTGAACTTTGCATAATCACCATCATTCTAATGCCTTTTCGCGTTTTTTTTGTTTTGTTTTGTTTTAATTTTGTTTTTGTTTTTCAACCAAACAGCACCATGTCATGATCCAGGACAAATAGCTAATGGGAWACTATTTGGAAGGACGTTTACCCACAGGAGAAGAGTAAGATATGTCTGTATTAAAGGCTACTCACTTGATAATCCAGCACCACTGATATGTAATGATGGACGATGGAATCGTCCTGTACATATACCTTCATGTAAAAGTGAGTTCATTTATTGTTTATGCATATTTTAGTTTTATTTCCAAGTTTTTAAATATATAAAGCCTGGTTATTATTAAAAGATTTCTCTAAAAATRACTATTGATTTATTTATCCCATGCAGAGTATTGTGATGATCCTGGAACTCCCCGAAATGCTATAAAAAATAGTAACAACTTAAARCATGGCTCGCAAGTCACATACACATGCAATGGAACTTCACAACTTGTGGGTGCACGAAGAATAGTTTGCAATGATGGAAAATGGTCTAGTCATCCTCCAAATTGTTCGGGTAGGTAAAAGAAAACACTTGAGTAACCTTTTTCATGCTCACATGYACTAGAACTCAGTCAGTTTGTTGAGAAATATTTCTCCCATTTCAAACCTCCTTAACAATTAAAGAGTTCTTTGTTTCTCTTTATTCATTCATGTTTCTTTCCAAGATTTGAAAGAGAACAAAGAATTGTCTTATTTAATGCCCAAGCCAAGGAGTTCTACTCGAAGATTAACCAGATTATTTTAAGAAATTGTTCAGTTCAGTTTAGTATCGAAATTTTTTTGCCACTATATATAGCTAAAAACTGTTACAAGAAAAAGTAAATAATATATAATGTATTTTTTTGTTSTTKTTTTTTTAATTTTTTTAAGAAATATGCCAACTGCCCCAAAAACCTGAAAATGGTCATGTTCTAGTAGCCAGGTCTCCGCCATTATCAGGAGACAAAGCCATATTTTTCTGTAATTTGCATTACGACTTGATTGGAAGTAAAGAAATATTATGTGACGAAGGAACTTGGAATGGCAATGCTCCACGATGCGCAGGTAAGAATTTTAAGTCTCTGGACAAGTCTTTGGAATCCTCACTGCATTGTATGTGCAGCAGACAGTTTTTTATCGCCAACATGGCCGTACTATGAATACTCTCATTTTCACAGTATTTTCCATCAGCCATTGAATCCCCTGAGAGAATTTCTTTGAATAGAAATTTCAAAATTAACACAGCTTCAAATAAAACGTTTCCAGTATTTTTTTATTTTCTCACACATTAATATATACTCTAGTTAAAAACAGCAGTTCAAAGTCAAGACAATAGCGTCACATGAAATAATCATGTGAAGTCGGTGAAATTAACTTCGTCAGTTTTAAAAAGAAGACTTCTCTTTTCAAAACTGTCCACCCTCTGCGATAGGACAGCTATCGTCATCCTTGTCAAATCAYATTTCGCCCGGACAGCACTCTTCAAACATCTYCATCTCAGCAAACTTCTTCGTCAAGTGAACTCAATAAAATGCACATTTGCAAAGCCAATATTCTCTTTTATAGTCAATAGCATCGTGAATATGCAAAAACTCACAAGCGTTTCAATGGTCTTTTCCGATACAATGGCAGCACAAATACAAAGTACAAAGCGTAAAGATTGTTATACTTACTTAAAGGCAATAAAATTTCCGAATTATAGTTTTCATTGTATGTAAAAAGTTTTAATGGTACAATGGGTTTTAGAAAACCGCTCAAAACTAAAGCCATTGATTAGCCTGCTTATTGTAAAACACGAGCAATACAGTTTTGAAAGGCACAGTTTCGTTTCTTCGAAAACAATGAGAGTATATATTAAATAGGATAAAAAACTATCAATTGCTTTAAAAAGTGGAGCAGCAAAATTAGATACCAGTGCAAGAATAAGGGGCATACATTTGTAGGCAGAAAGAAGATCGCATGCCAAACCTATTTCCTGTAGCACTGCTCAGTGATGTTTACATTGCATTTTTTATCATCAGGCTGCTTTTCAAAAATGAATAAAAAGCYAACTATATTTCACCCTTTACTCATATTAGAGAACTGTCAAGATCCGGGAGACATACCAAATGGGGTTATTACCAAAAATGGCTTTAAACACGGAGACAAAATATCTATTCGCTGTAAAAGTGGTTTTAGAATCAAGGGTAGTACAGAACTAATATGCAACAATGGACAATGGGCCAACCCAACACCAGAATGTGTTGGTAAGTAATGAAATACATTTACACACGTAGAGTGGTTTTCCGTCAACTATGAAAGCACAATAATTAATTAATTAAGTCTAATAGTTAGTAGTAGTTTGTAATAGACCAATACTAATAGTCTAGTCTATAGTAGACCTGTATCCGATTGATATGTATCAACATATTTATCACGAAAACAAGTTTTTTATGTCAATTTTAATGGTTATCTATTTGTCTTTATGTCTAAAAGTCTATATTGACTATTACCAGTTACTGCTAGCTAGTTGGTCTCTTTCTTTTCATGGTTGACGGAAAAACCACTCTATTATCGTCCCACTTCATTGTATTTGAAACTAGTAGTACAGAATAAGTAACACTGTTTTCGCGTCTTTTGTTTGCATTTAAAATTTATTTATAACARCATTATTAACATCAGCCATCATCAAAGGTAGCAAAAATGGTTTTTGGACATGATTGATCAGTTGCCGGCGGTGTTTGGTAATCCAATATTTCTTGGTTTGACCAGTGCTGCTTTTTTGATAAGCTTAATAATATTTCCTTTCACAGGTTTTTGTGTAGCTCTTGGTCATCCAATGAACGGTCAAATGTTGGATTTTAATTTCGACTATGGCTCTACGGTACGATTTCGTTGTAACTATGGATTTTCTCTGCGAGGCCTAGAAAATGTGACTTGTAACAATGGGAAATGGCATAGCAAAGTCCCAATATGCAAAGGTAGATATACAGGGAARATTGGTGCATTTTTGTGTCAATTGTTGGTGAGATAGATCATAGACTATCTTTAAGGAATAAAAGACGAAATTCCGTGTTTGATACTCTGATCAAAACACGCGGGATGTAGGGAGAGCACGAGAGAAGCGTAGGAAACCACGACGCGTAGCGGAGTGGTTTCCAGCTTTTCGAGTGCTCTCCCTACATCCCAAGTGTTTTGATCAGAGTATCAAACACGGAATTTCGTCTTTTATTTCTTTTCTAAAATTAAAAGAATAAAAGAAATTTTTGACGCGCACGAGCGTGTTTTGATACTGTAATCAAACATGGTTTTCGACCAATCACAGCGCGCGTAGTATCCTAAGTATTTTAGAATATCATTTCATTAATGAGCTTTAAACACCATATTTTATTTATAAATATACCTGTATTCCGTAGCACTTTTGATATTCACATGCTTACACAAAATGCATAAAAAMCTAAATATTTCATGCTAGATTGTTTAATTTGTTACGATTAAGATGGCAGTCCAAAAATTAATCTTAAGTTMCAAGTAATCAAAGAACTAAAGTGTAATAGACCTCTGAAGCTTAMATACGYCATGTAATGTATACGCAGCGCATTTTGTTTGGGGCAGAGCATGGCGGATTTCATTTATTTTCTCTAKAAACTAATCCCACAATGCATTGAATATCAAGTACTGTCGTAAAAGGTTTAGAAGTCTGTTGATACAGGAATTTAGCCCCTCATATCTCAGCGACTGGGGGCCATCGCCAAAAGTCTAAATCCGTCTTTAACCACTGCATCTGCGAACTCTTTTACCTAGTCATTATCTAGGATTCCTCGGGTTCTAGCGCTATATTTCTATAATATTAATTAAAATGAAAATAGGAACATTCTTGATTTGCAGCTAACTGTCTGGACCCTGGAACTCCTACTAACGGAGAAAGAAAAGGAGATCTTTTCACTCATCTTCAGACAGTGAGCTTTTCTTGCCAAAAGCCAAAAAGATTTCACGATTACTGGTTCCTCGAAAATACAGTGTATTGATGGAAAGTGGACMGCTGGAATACCGGATTGTACAGGTATATGCATGGGTGGCTTGAACGTAATGAAATTCCTGGTTGACTCATTAGAGATAATCCTGGGGAACCCATGCAGTCTCAGACTTGTGTCATTCCTTCCTCAGAAGATTTCGTATGGGCTCCGAGGATGTAAATGGAGAAAACAACAAATTATTCTATTGACGTATGTCTGATATTTTTTTTCTTTAGAGTGCAGCTCTCCACTTGGTATGGAGAACARAAAAATTCCAGATAAAAACATTAGAGCTTCTTCGAGTTGGGGTTATCGTTATGATTCAAGATACGCTCGCTTGAACCGCTACGGTTCCTGGTGTTCAGGATCTTTCAACAAATCACCTTATCTGGAAGTAGASCTTGAGAAACCTTACAGGATAACGTACATAGCTACGCAGGGAAGTTCYCGTGATAACAAATGGGAGACGAAGTACACTATAAGCTATACTTTGGCAAAGTCATCATTTGTAGAATACAGGGAAAATGGCAAAGAAAAGGTATGATAAAGCAAAATTAAACTTTTGATATATTCTGCTTGAATGCCCATATCGTTTTTATAGTCGCACTTATCATGTAGTTTRACATTGCAGGAGGAGCCGACGGGGATCTGTTCTTCTGAATGTCTTTTCTTGTACGGATTTTTTCCTGGGAAAGGGATTTTGAGCTACACTGTTGACAATCTCACAAGCAAATGTGGCGCCCTTCTTTCTCTTAAAATAATTTTGTTCCTGACAAACGTTTTCAAAAACGACTTATATTCTTTTTAGTTAGGAATATTTTATTTTCCTGGAAAAAATTCTTATAAAGTACTCCTTGCCTGGAGAGTTCTTTTTTTCCTGAATTTCTCGCACCACAACCAGCTGGCTGGGACATAAGAACAGATATATTTCTCCCAGGAATACGTCGGCTCCTCCTAACATTGTGGTATACTAGTATATACAATAGGGAATCCTTGATCAGAAATTAGATATCTCCCTCTTACTAATCACTGTAACCACTGTGTATTTTACTCAGGCATTCAACGGCAATAGCGATGCAACAAGTGTAGTCAAGCACAAATTGAAGAAATTGTTCATTGCGAGGAAGGTGCGTTTTCACCCAATTGGTTGGAGACTTTTTGGATATCTATTTAAACGATCRTGCATGCGAGTGGAGATATACGGGTGTAACCTTTCTACTGGTAGGTATACGACAAAGACCTCGTCATAAAAATAGCAACATCACAAAAGCAAAAACAACAACAATAACAACGTGAGCAACAACAACAGCAACAACTTTATTGAAAACGATGGAATCAATGTTAATAATAAAATTTGTAATGTTGTAATGTTGTGTATTATAAAATATTCAATCCAAATCATGCTTTAATCACATCTTTGACTTACTATAAAAAAAGTCGCTTTCATTTTACCGTGTCATATATACAGGTTTGATTGACATGTCATCTCGTTGGTCCACTCGACCAACTACTGAGACCACTAAGTCAAAATATTGMTGAGATTGCTAAAAGCTGAACGAATGTGGGTTTTTTTTTAGGCATTTTTTTTATTCAACGATAAAATCTTAGTCAAGCCGCAAAAAGTACATGTTACATGTATTTTGAAAGATTAACTGTACATCGTAATTGCTCAATTATTTATCTCATAGATTGTGTAATGGTTGGTTCACGCGTACTTGGAAATTGGGGCAGTAACTACCATGGCGGTGCGGGTGATGTTTACTACAAATCATATGTAAAAACTATTGATGACACATACAATGAGGTGCAGTTAGAAATAGAAGATGATGACCATCACAACGATACATTTAAAACATTRCCAAAGACACATGTTGTACTAGACGTCCCTAATAAACAGTTGAACTTACCACCTGGCACAAGAGTATTGGCACCGTGGAGCACTAAGTACTACACTGSGACCATTGAAAGAAAAGAGACACATTATTATCTAGTACGCTTTGATGATAAAAACTTTGCTTGGTTTCTTAAGAGAGTAATACGGGTACTTCGACCTACAGAGTTTTGTGAGATATAAGTTTGACATTTTATTTAAGAAGCAATGRCGATAAAAAACGTTATGATATTTGATTGTTTATAAGATCAGAATTCTTCGTGTGCAACCACATGACTTGGAATCCCCTGAGAAATAAACAGCAAAGCAATCGCCGCCATGTTTGATGAATGAACAAGAGAAACTAATGAGGAATGCTTTGTGATCTTCATCCAACATGGCGGTGATTACGTAACATGAACGCCAAGAATCTGGCAAAAGTCAATATTATCAAAAGACTATAATAAGGGTACTTCAAVTGAAGTGATTTACACACGTTTTTCCTCGATCAAATTTATTTTAATATATGWAGAAGAGAGTGAACTGAAATACAATCATACATGGGGTGAATTAAACTTATTTCATGTTATAAAGAAAAAAGAGGAAAGAGAAATCGAAATTCAATATTTACAAACTGTGTGCTGTTCGTTCGCTTGTGAAGACTTACTAAATTATATTTACAAATCACTTTAAATATACTAGATTATTTCCCGTGACACCTACAATAAACAAAACTAAAAGTTCATTGTTCGTAACATCAACCAACACAGGATAACGTTACTAACGTTATCAACCCAAATCACCAGATAAAATTATTACTACTACACTTGTACCACACCCAATATGACTGTGACGTAATGTGACAAYCAAGATTATCATCCGCGGCTGTTCAGACTTGAAAGAGTCTCTATCCGTCTTTAAAACAGTGGGAACTAGCGGTAAACTAGTGTGAGCTGCGTCGGTGTTTMTAAAGAAACAGTTATGTAAAAAGATAAATTTAACACCGTAAAAAAGTATGTGGAAAAACTTACTGACGTTTCGGATGTTAATCCTTCGTCGGAGGATTAACATCCGAAACGTCAGTAAGTTTTTCCACATACTTTTTTACGGTGTTAAATTTATCTTTTTACATAACTGCGTCTTTAAAACAGCCGTTTGAGTTAATAAAAAGATCAATTCACATGCATGAAGTTTATTCAATTGTAATCACATCAGACTTTTACTGGAACTTGAAGTGAATCGATCATTTCCCAATAAATCAATAACCAAAGTAAATCATAGCATGACTGGTAGAATAATTAAGCACCATGCAATAATTAAATCAACATAATAMCTGTCATACCATCGAATTTAAGAAATAAAAAATATATGTGACCTTTCTGTGTAT